GTGTTCCGCAGTTCCGTTTTGTTTGGAAAAAAAGGACTAAATATTTTTTCTTATCTCTGCTTTTAAATCAATGACTTTCTTTTTTTTTTGTTTCTTTGGTTTTCACGCACAGCACTCATTAAATAAAACTAGTTTTAACGGGTTAATGCATGAAACTTTATTTATTTATTGACGTTTCGCAGCCTTTTCAGGTCTATCATTTATTTTGTCGAGCTACATTCGAAAGACTTTTATTGAGCATTCGGTTATTTCATTGTTTGATTTTTAAAGTTTTATTGTCTATGTATGAATTTATTAGTTAATTTAGTTAATAAAGTACTTTATTCAAAATTATTTTTTGTAATTTTAAGTTTATTTATTTGACCCTAACTACCGTAAACTACGTTCGTGCATTAACCCGTTAAAACTAGTTTTATTCAATGACTTTCATTGAGACGTGCTTCTTAATTGCCATAATTAATCAGAGTTATTAGCAAATAGTCTTAACATCATTTTAATAAGAAATAAAGCAGCGTACTTCACCCACAAGTTAAAAGCATTTGACATTTCGGAGACCTCCCGCTACAAAAGCGCCCCTAGCGGCGGATTCATACGTGATAGCTAGTGTTGCCAGGTCCGACTTGTTTTAAATCGGTACAAGAGGTCAAAAAAATCAGGATTTAGGGTCGCAGATCGGGACAGTAAACAAAAAACAAGGGGTTTTTAAGTCTGGGTTTAATTTATTGCGTTTTAAACTATTAGTGCAAGTATAGTATTATATTAATAACCTAAATTTAATTTTTTGATTAATCGGGACATTTAGCGTCCCGATCAGGTACAAATCGGGCCCCCTGAAAATCGGGACGTCCCGTGCAAATCGGGACACCTGGCAACACTAGTGATAGCCCTCATTGCCAAGTTCGGTAAATGTATTAAATTGTAATGTTGCTATGACTGACGTTGTGTGCAGATATTTAATAGCTTAGATTAAAACAAAAAGGGAAGATACGTCACTCAGGGCTTAAAAGTGATCCGCTTAAATCGTGGTGCATGTCCATAATTCGATTTAGTCACAATTGGACATTCAAACACGCTGCATGTGCACTCAATATAACAATATTGCGTATATTCTGCGTTATGAAGATAAAACAATGCCTTCGATGCTTTTATAAAGAACACAAATAGTTCAAAATCAAATAACAAATGCCACGGCAACACTTTTCATTCGAAATACTGTAAAAACATTTTTTTCTCAAAAATCATGGTTTCGTGTGAATGTTATATACGTAATCGCCATTTTATATCAAGAAAAGGCCAGTAAAAAGCTATGTTGCAGCGTATAGTTCTGTCTCGCTCGCTCGATTGAATGTTTATATACAGACGTGTGCGTGTGTGAGAATTGCTTATGTAGTTGAGTCGGATCATATTTTATTTGATGCTAGTATGAGCGTACCGTATCTACCCTTTTTAGTTTTAATCTAAGCATAATAGGGATGACGACAAACAAAATTCTTTTAAGTCGGTCTTAAGATTATCAAAACATCGACACTTATTTTTAATTCTGACAATCAACCAAGAAAGACGAAGGTAAAGCGCGTCAAATTTTGCAAGTAAAGTGGGGGCACGTGACGGCACTTCTAAGTAAATAAAAAAATGTGAATCATGTAAAGCAATGGTAATAGAAAACACTATATCAACAATTTTTAAAGGTTTTATTGGCTATTTTGGCTTAAATGGTTTGTTTTTTATTATTATTCTTGTGTTGTCAGATCAGTAGGTCACAAATTCCCCAAAATGGGAGTATTTAAGAACCTACTTCACAAGCCTCTTCATGAAAATAGGTTTGATTGATTACCTTTGAATTTGAAGTTTTAAAAACAGTTGAGATAACAAGTTGTTTTTATTTCTAAGCAGTTCTCTTCTTTAAAGTAAATACCACATCTGATGTTAAAATTATTATAATAATTATATATTTACAAATAGGCAGCCATGTTAAAGTTCTTAGGCTAATCGTTAACCTCGATCATATCATTAAATACTCACTTATTTCTTTACTAAATAAAGTCTTTCAGTGTCGCCAGATCCGGAGGTCGTCACAACCCGATTTCACGGGGAAAGTTTAACACATTCATGTTGTGGTTTTCATTTATTTTTATATGGTAACACAGTCACTTCACTTGTTTGTTACACTCTGGATCCAGTGCGGTCCTGTCTGATGCTGTAACAACGATGAGTCCTGGCAGACCTGTTAAAGAGACAAAGATTAAAGATTTTTTCCGTAAAATTATAAAAAAACCGGCCAAGTGTGAGTCGGACTCGCGCACCGAGGGTTCCGTACAAACCAATTTAATACCTCTACGTGTTCATGAGAAAAAAAGTAGTAAAACTTTAAAATTTTCAAAAATATTTTTTATTATATGATGTAACTAAAAATTTACGGTTTTCGCAATTTTTCCTTCATCTGTACTATAAGACGTTACTTCGTACCAAATTTCAAGATTCTTAGTTCACGGGAAGTACCCTGTAGGTTTTGATTCACGTGCGATTTTCGAAAATTTTGCGGCATTAACGGCTGTATCTTTTGGCTTAGAAGTTTGATTTTTTCACGGCTCCAAGGGACAGTAGACATGAGTATTAGATGAATTTCAGTTTGATACCTCCACACTTTTCTGAGAAAAACGGTCTTGACAGACGGACGGACAACAAAGTGATCCTATAAGGATTCCGTTTTTTCTTTTTGAGGTGAATAACATTTCGGACTCGCAAAATATTCGAATTCGATATTGGTTCGTGCTAAGGGTACAGAACAGAACCATCGCAGCAGCCAAGATCATTTCAGCAGTGGAAGTCGAATGACAACAAAATCCTGTAAACATTCTCTGTCAGTAGAGCGACGACAGCTAGCTCCAAGCAATATTGATCTTTACCCTTATATTTCTTTGTGATAGAGGTCCTTGTCGTGGCAGCAGTGATACGATAACGTCGAACGTCGCCGCCGAGTCCCCAGTCTGTCAAATAGTGTGCAAGCAATATTGATCCTTACTCACCTAGTCATAGAGGTCCTTGTCGTGGTCTAGGGTGCGCAGCCGTAGTTGAGGAAGTCCCACACTAGAATCGTGTCGTCGTGAGATGACGAGACTATTTAATACGTGACTTCAATATGAAATAATTCATTGCTCCTAAATTTCCTTGTTGAGAGAGAAAAAGTGTGCAATACGATAACCGACCCTATTGACCTTGTCGTCAAGATCGCTTTTAGCAGTGATAGAAAATGACATTATGAGTTGCATGAATTTAAGAACCGACTAATAATTCTACAAAACTGTCGTGTGTCAGTTATACTTTAAAAGAAAAGGTTGGACCTGGTGGCCTATTAGGCAGTGATGCGATAGCGTTTTATTGCCGAGTCCTCAGTCTGTCAAATAGTGTGCAAGTAATATTGACCCTTATTCACATAGTCATAAAGATCGGTGTCGTGGTCGTATCAAATAGTCTTGTCTTTTGATGAACCGTCTAAATCCGCCTTAACCCACTTACCTAGTTGCCCATTCAGCAGTAATGCGATAGCGTTGTATTGCCGAGTCTCCAGTCTATCAAATAGTGTGCAAGCAATATTGATTTTTACTCACCTAGTCATAGAGGTCCCTGTCGTGGCAGCAGTGATACGATAACGTCGAACGTCGTCGCCGAGTCCCCAGTCCGTTAAAAAGTGTGCAAGCAATATTGATCCTTACTGACCTAGTCATAGAAGGTCCCTGTCGTGGCAGCAGTGCTACGATAGCGTTATAATTAATACAGAGTCCCCAGTTTGTCAAATAGTGTGTAAGCAATATTGATCCTTACCCATCTAGTCATAGAGGTCCCTGTCATGGCAGCAGTGATACGATAACGTCGAACGTCATCGCCGAGTTCCCAGTCTGTCAAATAGTGTGCAAGCATGATCCTTACTCACCTAGTCATAGAGGTCCCTGTCGCCTGTCTGTAGTGGCAGCAGTGATACGATAACGTTATAATAATTGCCGAGTCTTCAGTCTATCAAATAGTGTGCAAGCAATATTGATCCTTACTCACCTAGTCATAGGGGTCCCTGTCGTGGCAGCAGTGATACGATAACGTCGAACGTCATCGCCGAGTTCCCAGTCTGTTAAATAGTGTGCAAGCAATATTGATCCTTATTTACCTAGTCATAGAGGTCACTGACGCCTGTCTGTAGTGGCAGCAGTGATACGATAACGTTATAATAATTGCCGAGTCCTCAGTCTATCAAATAGTGTGCAAGCAATATTGATCCTTACTCACCTAGTCATAGAGGTCCCTGTCGTAGCAGCAGTGATACGATAACGTCGAACGTCGTCGCCGAGTCCCCAGTCTGTTAAAAAGTGTGCAAACAATATTGATCCTTACTCACCTAGTCATAGAGGTCCCTGTCGTGGTCTGAGGTGCGCGGGCGCGGGCGCGGCGGCCGGGGAGGCGCCCCCGTAGTTGACGAAGTCCCACACTAGGATCGTGTCGTCGTGAGATGACGAGACTATTTGATACGTGACTTCAATATGAAATATGGTTCATTGCTCCTAAATTTCCTTGTTGAGAGAGAAAAAGAATGCAATACGATAACCGACCCTATTGACCTTGTCGTCAAGATCGCTTTTAGCAGTGATAGAAAATGACATTATGAGTTGCATGAATTTAAGAACCGACTAATAATTCTACAAAACTGTCGTGTGTCAGTTATACTTTAAAAGAAAAGGTTGGACCTGGTGGCCTATTAGGCAGTGATGCGATAGCGTTTTATTGCCGAGTCCTCAGTCTGTCAAATAGTGTGCAAGTAATATTGACCCTTATTCACATAGTCATAAAGATCGGTGTCGTGGTCGTATCAAATAGTCTCGTCTTTTGATGAACCGTCTAATTCCGCCTTAACCCACTTACCTAGTTGCCCATTCAGCAGTGATGCGATAGCGTTGTATTGCCGAGTCTCCAATCTATCAAATAGTGTGCAAGCAATATTGATCTTTACTCACCTAGTCATAGAGGTCCCTGTCGTGGTCTGGGGTGCGCGGGCGCGGGTGCGGCGCGGGCGCGGCGGCCGGGGAGGCGCCCCCGTAGTTGAGGAAGTCCCACACTAGAATCGTGTCGTCGTGAGATGACGACACGATTTGAAACTCGTCGAATTGGAGGCGGAACACTCGGCCGGTGTGTTCCTGAGTGAGTGGGAGAGGCGAATGTTAGATATCGGTGTCGATTCTGGCATGATTATCTTCTTTATATAGATCACTAGCTGACCCAGCAAACGTTGTTTTGCCATATAAATGACTATTAAAAATAGGGGTTAGTGATAGAAGGGTGAAAATTCAGGGTTGTATGTATTTTTAATGCCACATTATAAAGAAAATGTCTATAAAATAAAAAATAAACGCTAGGAGCGGACAACCCTTATCACTCAGGGGTATGAAAAATAGAAAGTAGCCGATTCTCAGACTGAATATGCATATAAAATTGCAACAAAAATCAGTCGAGCCGTTTCGGAGGAGTATGGTTACTAACATTGTGACATTCATATTCATCAAAGATATTCATCATTCTGTTCTGTATTTCATTAAAAATAACCAAATAAAAAACTCCATTTTCAAGTTGCCGCGAAAACGTTTCTCTAGACAATATGGCGTCTTACTAGTGTGTGACGTCACACGACTGTTATTAAAACGTCAAACGATACAATGAATGTCACTTTAACCGGAAGTTTACTTGCGTGCGACGTTATTTTAGGATCTGCCAATCCCTAGCGTTTTGGGTCACGTGACAATAGATAAGAAAACTATTATCTTTTTCGAGGATTTTTAGTAAAATTATGAATATTTTTTTTGTAAAAATAGTAAAAACCCCTGCCAATATTCAATCTCAACACAGATGCTAACAATTGGCATTTTATTTTTAATACTGTCAAATACCCTATTTCATATATAAGATATATAGTTTGTTGCCAGCGATATTAAATACCTTATGATAATAATAATAACTTTTATATTGAAGCCACCTTTTAAGCAAATAATGCCTGTGACAGGTGACTCTATTCTTCTATACCTAAAATTACAGTTTGCTTAGATACAACAACACGAACGAAATCGTGGCCGAAACCTGTCCAAAAGGTACATTGGACGATCCAGGGAGCTCCGTAAGATGATCGCGTAGTCTAAACAATATAAGGCGTTATTTAAACCTGCCTGGACAGGCCTGCGGGGACACCAAGAGACAGCTGAGCTTCTTGGGGAAGTTGGGATGGCATGATTAAAGCCATTGCGAAAAACTGTGGGTACCGTACAGAAGAAGAAGAAGAAACGTGTCATAATCTCTAGGATTTCGAAATTGCTTGAAACATTTATGATATTTGAAGTTTTCGTTTAAGCAACATATTAGAGGAAAGCTGAACCAGTTTCGATAATTATTACTCTTGTGGGAAGTATTCATAGGTGTATGCATTAAAATGATCATCATCATCATCATCAGACTATTAATGTCCCCACTGCAACGTCTATGCAAATACTCGCCATTTGCGAGACGAGAACAACCAGAGATTATATGCCTAAGGGATTTACCTGGGCGATGGCACGCACGGCAAACATCCAATGTGCCATCCTTCAGTAAAAATCTCCGTATTATTAAATTAATGTAATCTTTATTCCAACTCACCACTAGCGTCCTTAGGCACAGTTCCTGATGTGGAGTGCGAACATCGAGTGCCGCGGGTAAATCCCATACTTTAATCTTGCCGTCGTACGCGCCGCTGACTATCCGCTTATTGTCGAAACTATGGAATAAAACAAGTTTATTTTTATTGCAATTAAAAGTACCATCATCATTATAAGTCTATTTCTGTCCCCACTGATGGGGCACAGGTACACGGACACCACCAGTCTGTCCCATTACTGAAGGCTGGCTAATTTCTTCGTTTGTGTCTATTTGTCTCTGTGTATTGTAACGTCGTATCTACGCCATTACATAGATTAACTAGTTTGACATCCGTCACTCAAAATTTTTCTCTATTATTAATAAATAAAACATAGGTATATATTTAAAAATTTGGTTTAATTTTGGGTAACATTCTAGAAAATTAATAATAATTGTTAAAAATACATCGTTCTAAATTTAAGTAAACTTTTTGTAATTTATGGTTTGTCCATGCCCAAATTTAAATTTTAATACGACAACACTGAAACACAAGGCGATTTTCAAGGTGAGAGCTGGCAACACTTTTCGATTTATACGAGACGATTGGTCATCTTTTTTTAGAAATGTGAATTTAATATTAAAACCTAACATTTAAAAAAAATGCGATCATTGCGTTGATTTAAATTGTTAAAGGAGCCAATGGCCCTATAATTAAATTAATAGGAGCTGCGATTGCAGGTAAGATAAGTGATTAAAATTGTGATTTTATAAATTCACCATGTTGTCGAGCCTGCCCTCACAGTTTTTCCTTTGTTTCAGCTCTTTTTCTTTTGGTTTACTTTTCATTACATTTCTTTTCCTTTGAATCAAACAACCAACCAAAGTGGAAATGGACCTACCATAAAGGTAAATTGGCCCACGTTGTATACCACGACGTTTGGATATGAAATGGTATGTACTTACATTCACCTAAAAAAATAATTGAAGAAGAAAAGATCTCATTATTGCCACCCTAGTCGAAACTGCCCTTGCGATTAGGAGTACGATGCTGTCCTTAAGTTATCCCGGACACCTGGAGATGACACCAGCTTCCTGGCGCCCTTTGTTTTTTTTTTAAATGGAAGCTGAGACTCCAAAACGGCAAGTACCAACTGGCCAACACCTCGAGGATTTTTTCTTTTGGTTTAGGCATCTAATTGTAACAACCGTTAAATCACACTCCCCTTTTTACCTTTTTTTACCTTACAGTATGTTTCGTTAATTTCTATATATCTATTTTTTTACTCACCGTATGCACCGCACCAATTCTTCATGTTTTGTCAAATGAGCCGGACACCACCAGTCTGTCCCAGTACTGCAGGCAGGCTAATTTCTTTGTTTGTGTCTATTTGTCCGTGTGTATGTTTCGTTAATTCTTCCTATATGTCTATTTATTAATTCACCGTATGCACTGCACAAATTCTTCATGTCCCTCCAACACTCGTATGCACTGTCCGCACTCGATGTCCCACAGACGGATAGTTTTGTCCGATGACCCGAACACCACCAGTCTGTCCCAGTACTGAAGGCAGGCTAATTTCTTTGTTTGTGTCTTATTTGTCCGTGTGTATGTTTCGTTAATTCCTATATATCTATTTTTTAACTCACCGTTTGCACCACACCAATTCTTCATGTCCCTCCAACACTGGTATGCACTGTCCGCACTCGATGTCCCACAAACGGATAGTGTTGTCAGTGACCCGGACACCACCAATCTGTCCCGGTACCGAAGGCAGGCTAATTTCTTCGTTTGTATCTATTTGTCTGTGTGTATGTTTCGTTAATTCCTATATATCTATTTGTTGACTCACCGTATGCACCGCACCAATTCTTCATGTCCCTCCAACACTCGTATGCACTGTCCGCACTCGATGTCCCACAGAAGGATAGTTTTGTCCAATGACCCAGACACCACCAGTCTGTCCCAGTACCGAAGGCAGGCTAATTTCTTTGTTTGTGTCTTATTTGTCCGTGTGTATGTTTCGTTAATTCCTATATATCTATTTTTTAACTCACCGTTTGCACCACACCAATTCTTCATGTCCCTCCAACACTGGTATGCACTGTCCGCACTCGATGTCCCACAAACGGATAGTGTTGTCAGTGACCCGGACACCACCAATCTGTCCCGGTACCGAAGGCAGGCTAATTTCTTCGTTTGTATCTATTTGTCTGTGTGTATGTTTCGTTAATTCCTATATATCTATTTGTTAACTCACCGTATGCACCGCACCAATTCTTCATGTTCCTCCAACACTCGTATGCACTGTTCGCACTCGATGTCCCACAGACGGAGAGTTTTGTCCGACGACCAGGTCAACACCAATCTGTCCCAGTACTGAAGGCAGGCTAATTTCTTCGTTTGTGTCTATTTGTCTGTGTGTATGTTTCGATAATTTCTATATGTCTATTTATCAACTCACCGTATGCACCGCACCAATTCCTCATGTCCCTCCAACACTCGTATGCACTGTCCGCACTCTATGTCCCACAGACGGATAGTGTTGTCCGATGAACCAGACACCACCAGTCTGTCCCGGTACTGAAGGCAGGCAATGCCTCGCTTGTGTCCGTTTAATGTGCGCACGAATTCACAAGATGAAGTGTTCCATACCTGACGGATAAAGATAATAATAAAACATTAAAATTCAGTTTTAATGTGTCGTTAGTAAAAAGTACATGGCTATTAAAGGAAAATGGGCAAAACACACCCAGCTCCGCCAACAATGTAATTAGTATGAATCGATAGATCTATGAAAAACTAGCCTTTTTTATTATGACACCGTAAAAAAATATCCCGGCAGTCAAAAGATATGACACCGTAAAAAATACCCTGGTAGTCAAAAGATATGACCATGGGCATGACGACATGACACCTTCATTTTATATTGTTAGTAATCATAATAATATGGCATATCGTACTATACAACCAGATATACGACAAAGCCTGCCCTGACCATCCTGCGCTTGCACTTATTGAGACACCTCAAAACGATTTATGGGGGTTGAACGACTTGCAGTTGCAAATAGTCGATTCGTCTTACTTCGTTGTGATTGTGCGCTCCCATGTCACTTCATTGATTTTTATCTAACACGCTTTGGATATTGGAACACGATTATTGGTATTTTTCAATTAGTATGGATGAACTGGAATCATGTTTTCTCCGAAGCGTGGACAATTTTGTGTGATTCGTTTCACATAGAAGACAATTTACTATAACGAACAGAATGTTTGAAAACCCCCAAACCCATGTGGGGATTTTTGGATTTACTCTAGCGCGGCAGAATAACATAAGGGGGCACCCTTGCACCTTGTGAAGTACTCCCATAATACCTGAGCCCTCAATGTAGGGTCGAACTAACTAACTAAATTAATTCCCTAGTTTCATTAATGTTAATAATGTTCGTACCTATTTAACTTAAAATAACTAAAGACCCCCGGGATGGAATTTGATGCGCTTTGGCACAGATTATCATGACTATAATACCTTTCAAACAAATGTAGTTTAAGCCGTGGCGGAAGTGGGTGCAGCGTCCATAATTTTTTTCCCAATGTCCTTTATAATTATCTGCCTAATGGCGCGACTACACTTGGTCGTTAGCCCGAATACGAGTGCCAATGGAATTTGGATAAACCGACCGGACCGATTCCTATACTGTGCTGATCTCATAATGAACACAAAATCACCTTTTGCCAAAATGACTCATTTTCTAAACGAATTCGTTTAAAAATACAGGAATACGTTATTGTCTGCCAGAAAAGGTACACTTGTGATATTAAATCAAAAACAATGTTTCAGAAAAATCCAACACTTCTCAAACATTTTGATAGTTTCAACACATTTTTTTTTGAACCTAATGTCGTTTTTAAGATCTTATTTCAATCTCTAGATGTTGTATGTTCAATTTATATATAACAGTCATTACTTCAATAATTATCCTTTATTTTTGAGTACCTAAAAACAAACACCATAAAGTAAAACTAGTTTTTACGGGTTAATGCACGAAACTTTATTTATTTATTGACGTTTCGCAGCCTTTTCAGGTCTGCATCGTCAGAAACCATAACATAACATAACCATCAGACCTGAAAAGGCTGCGAAACGTCAATAAATAAATAAAGTTTCGTGCATTAACCCGTAAAAACTAGTTTTATTTAATGAGTGATGTGCGTGAAAACCTAAGAAACAAATAAACACCATAAAGTCCTAATATCAGTTATTAAGTATAAAATAAATAATTAAAGAAATATTTCCAACAGCCACACCAATTAGCCTAGCCCCAGAGTAAGCACTGTAAGGCTTGTGTTATGGGAAAGATACTAGGGTAACGGATAGAATACATATCTGTACATATAAATATTTTTAAAGAAATACATATTAAACATCAATTACTAGAGTACAAATGCTCGTATTCATCACACAAAATATAAAACACTCTAAAAATCAATGCCGTGCATCTTGGAATGTCATAAAAGGTAACATAAAACATATCAATAATAAATACATTGAAAAAATTTGTGTCAAGGATAAAATAATAACAGATCCTCAGCAGATTGCTGAAGCATTTAATAATAGTTTTATAGATTCGACAAATATTGATAATAGTAGCCATTACAAAAATACAAATAAATTATTTGTGCCAAATAGCATGTATCTGAAACCTTATAGCATAGACGAAATACAGAAACTAGTTATGACATTGAACAATACAAAGTCAGAAGGCTTTGATGGTATATCGACGGATATAATAAAACGTAGTCGTATGGTTCTAGGTGAAGTATTGACCTATTTGGTAAATTTATCATTTGAAAAAGGGGCTTTTCCCACCATGCTAAAAATGTCTGTGGTCAAACCATTGCATAAAAAGGGTGACACCAAAACTATAAACAACTACAGGCCTGTCACTTTGGTTTCAGTACTGTCAAAAATATATGAAAAGGCTATGGCTAGACGTATTATTGAATTTATGACGAAATTTAGTCTAATCAGAAAGGAGCAATATGGCTTTCAAAATAATAAATCAACTAGCCTCGCAGGTCATGGTCTTATCAATGATATCATTGAGAATTTAAATGATGGGCGGAAAGTTACTGCCGTCTTTTTTGATATGACAAATGCTTTTGATTTCGTATCACATAAAATCCTTCTGAATAAATTGGAAAATATCGGTTTTAGAGGACCTGTTATAAATTGGATAGCTAGCTATTTAAAAGAGAGGACACAGTATGTTGAAATAGCTAATATTGACAGAACTCAAACTGTAGTCAAATATAAATCCCAAGAAAGAGTCAATGCGTTTGGCGTTCCGCAGGGGACGATACTTGGACCGATTTTCTTCAATTTTTATATAAATGACCTACCTGATGCCATATCAGATAAATGCGTTCTTTTTGCTGATGACATTTCAGTTCTTGTGACATCTAGCAAGGAAACTAAAAATAATATATATGAATCAAATATTAATAATACAATTCAAGATATTTCTAAATGGACATTATATAATAATTTATATATTAATATCGAAAAAACATGTTACATTCAATTTGCTAATTACGGTACTTTGACTAATAACCTCAACTTATATTATAATAAACAACTTGTAAAACAAACAGACGAAGCAAAATTTTTAGGAATAATACTGGACAACCATGTTAACTGGAAGGCTCATGTCAATAGGATTTGTACGAAGATAAATAGTTACATTTACCTTCTCAGTAGACTCAGAAAAACAACATCACACTCTACATTAATCACAGCTTACTATGGTTATATTTATCCTACGCTTGATTATGGCATTCTACTTTGGGGTAACAGTACAGATGCTGATAGGGCATTTATTGCTCAGAAGAAATGTATTAGAGCCATGCACGGATTAGCACCAGATGAGTCATGTAGACCATACTTTAAAAGGTTACGTATTTTACCATTATATTGTATGTTCATTTTGAGTTTGGTTTGCTTTGTCAAATTTAATAGCAATTTATTTACGAAATGTAGTGATATAAATAGAACTCAAAGAACCCTCCGTTACCCTGACAAACTTGCTTATAGTGTTAGACCAAAGACCAGTCTTTATTTGAAAAATTCTACAGCTATGTGCATCAAGGTATATAATGCTTTACCAACAGAGTTTCTAAATCTTCCAACGATAAAGTCATGGTTGCAGGAACAATGTTTTTACTCTGTAGAGGAATATTTTAATTTTATGTTTAAATCCAGACATAATAAGTGACAAATTAATTAAGATTGTAATTTTTATTCTATGTGATATATATTTATTGTAGTGATTTAATAATATTTAATTGCTTGATAGTTTGACATGTGTAAATGGAATAAATGATTTAAAGTTTTATGATTGTAAATTTGACTAAAATTATAATTTATTTTTAATCAATAATATTATGGATTTCTTAACATGTTTATGTGATGACATATGACGATTAATTGACATGTTTAAATGGAATTAATGTTTTGGAATGATTAACAATAGTGTGACCAATTACAATATTAATATAAAATAATTTGATATTTGCATGCTAATTTAGCGAATCATGTTTGAGCACCATATGTATTGTAACATCTTTTTATTGTACCATGTTTCTTGTAAATAAATATGAATATGAATAATATGAACAAACATCTGCCCCCACCGGGATTCAAACCCGAGACCTCTCGAGTCATCGACAACATGAAACCCGGCGTACAAACCACTCGGCCACGGAGGTCAACTAGCCATTTTGATCCTTATTCTTGCTCACATTTTAAATCTTAGTGGTGAAACCGAAATTATTATAAAATTCCACATGCTAAAGTTATTTTACAGGAACTTAATTAAATTAAATTTGAAATTACATTTTTAAGTTTAATTTACCATAACAATATTAAAAACTAGATAAAATATTTTTTAATGATTTAACCGCGTTTCAATGATTTTTAGCCTATCCGCCTTCGAAGGGCAATTACAACAAAAATAGGCTGATTAAGTACATTTTTTTATGATTTTTGGTAGTCTACTATATAAAAATAAGTCGGGTTTTCCTTCCTGACGCTATAACTCCAGAATGCACGAACCGATTTCCACGGTTTTGCATTCGTTGGAAAGGTCTCGGGCTCCGTGAGGTTTATAGCAAAGAAAATTCAGGAAAAATTTCAAAAAAAAATATCTTCTTTTAATCACCAAACGAAATATTACATAAAACGAAGCCATCTGATGGCGAAACGGAGTTCGCCTGGTTTGCTAGTTTAGAATAGAAGCATGCGGAGTTTTTAATTTTAGCCAGAAGCTATGAAAACTCCTTTTTGCATTTTTAAATTGAAGTTGAATGTTTAAGTAAATCCTACTAAAAACAAAAGTTCCAACTTTCAAGTCTTTTTTGAGTAACTTTAAGTAATTTCAGGGAACTGAGTTATTTTTTTTATTAAAACTACATTCAAGACAATTATGTCACAAAAAAAAGACTGCAATCTACCTACTACGAAACAGGATTTGAATTTTTGAAACCTCGCTGGCAGAAATCATTAAAAATACACAAAATAAATTATAATTCGAAAACTAAGAAAAATCGCGGAAAATACATGGAGTATTTTCGGATACCCCCAGGTGCGAGAAGTCTAAAAAAAATTTGTTGACGTCACTAATTGGACCACCCTGTATGTTAGAAGATAAAATAAAACAATTGAATTTTATCTCAAATCGGTCCCAACTCAGCATAGTGGTAATGTTGCCATCAGCGCTGGTCTTCCGTTGGCACCAGTTTGGTGTCGCACGAAACAATAGCAAGAAAAACAATAAATAACATTAACATAAACAAAATAAAAAACCAGGAATTAAAACAATGTCAATCACAGGACGCCTGGCAGATGTGAAACATCCACATTATTTTTGTAAAAGTAATATGCAGAAAAGAACAGATTGCAGTTAGTAACTAAATATGGCATAATGATAAACAAAATATTACGATGTTTTCCAGTAAAAGATTGCTGTTTATTTAATAAACATTTATTTATATTAGTCAGACATTTACATTTGACGACCTCCGTGGCCGAGTGGTTTGGACGCCGGGTTTCAAGGTGTTGCCGACTCGATAGGTCCCGGATTCGAATCCCGGTGGGGGCAGATGTTTGTGTGATGAATACGAGCATTTGTACTCCAGTCATGGATGTTTTCATATGTATACTATATAAATATGCTAATATATGTATAGTATATGTATTCTATCCGTTACCCTAGTATCCCATAACACAAGCCTTACAGTGCTTACTTTGGGGCTAGGTCAATTAGTGTGAGTGTTGAAAATATTTATTTATTATTAGAAAAAACACTAGCCGATTTACGAGAAATACACTCGGTGAATGCCCGAGCCAGTGTATAGTGTGCGTGCGTTAAAAAATGACATTGTTCCTTCATCGAAGGGCGCTGGCGCCGTACTGATCGGCGAGTAGTTGAGCACTGGTATATATTGCATTTTACGGGCGAGCCACGCCACGCCAGAAATCGGTTTTACGTGCGCCAAAATATGTTTTACATCAAAAATGTAAGCTGTCCATTAATCACGTGACGTTTTTTTGGCATTTTAAACCTCTCCCTCGCTTGGTGTGGTGATACGTGGTGAGGTTTAAGACATCACCCCCCCCCCCCCCCCCCCCGCCCCTATATCACGTATATTTTTTAGTACCTACAATAAATCTATTTTTTTTTAATATTTATAAAATACAGATAAAAGTACCATCTAATTTTATTATAGAAAATTTAAGACTACCAATAATAACTAACTTAGTTATTACGACAGAAAGGTTGCAGGTTGTTTTTGACTGACATAAAAATAATGAAAGAAATGCGAAAAACTTCTTTGTACTAACACATGAACATTATTAATTATACAGTATCCTCGGATGTACTCACTTTGATAGTCCTATCCCCGCTGGCACTGACGATATATTTCTCGTCGAAGTCGACGACGTTGACGGCGGCGCGATGGCCGACCAGAACTCGCCGCAGATTGATCTCCGTGGTGGAGGTCATGTCCCATACGGCTATTGAACGGTCCTGGAGGAGATTACAACAATACATTGCTTAATATATATAACTTATAACTTTATAATCGTACTTCCTACATAATATATTATCATCAGCCTATTAATGTCCCCACTGCTGGGGTACAGGCCTTCCCTATGGATGGAATAGGGAGTTTGGGCCATGACCCAAAACGCAGGCCCAGTATGATTTGGTAGATGGTCAATCATCCATCCAATAGCCGGCCATTGCAAAAGTTGCTTATAACCCACAATCGCAATATTAACCATGTGCACTATTGATGACAAATGAATGAATACAGACTTGTTTTCATGATACACCCTTAGATTAAAACAAAAAGGGTAGATACGGTACGCTCTTACTTGCATCAAACAAAAACTGATCCCACTTTACTACATATGCAACACTCACACATCCACCTGTTTGTAAAGATACAATCGAACGAACGAAACAGCAATAAAAGTTTCAACGGCAGCGCGAACGGGACGGCGAGATCCGCGTCACTGCGCTACCGACCAATCACGCGACCAGTACTCGAAGTCACTACAGAGTAGCGTCAGAGAAAAAAATAAAAGTATTTTTTATTAAATATAAGTTTTATTATTAAAATTCAATAAAAAAAATCCACATTGAGCAATTTTCAATCTACTTTGAAAAGCTGAGGGAACGAAACTGTTTACAAGTATACCTACTAAAAGTAGATTTTTTACATGATAACGTCAACATTTTTTTAAGGTATCTTATACTGCTGGATGTGGTCATTTTTATTGTATTCAGTGTTTAAAAGAATCTAATGGAGATACAATTTTTACTAGAAACTTTACACTTATTATATTTCAATACCAATCATAAACTGATTTGATTTGACACACATTATTATATCACCTGATAAAAAATCAGTTAACAAGCGTACCTACTAAAAGTAGGTCTTTTATACGATACCGTCAACAATTTTTTAACATACCTTGTACTGCTGGATTTGGAAATTTTCATCGTCTACAGTATTTAAAAGAATGTAATCCGAAACACTTATTATATTTCTCTTCTAAGCATGAATTGCTTGTTTTATAAATCTAATCTAAACTACACTTTAAATTATACATTTAAATAATAAAAAAATATAAAGGTATAATTAAATAACAAAAACAATAATCATCATCGATAAATAAAAATAAACATAAGTTATGCCTTGGGCTTTATAACAGAAGTAAGAATCTTACTAGGTACCTACCTACTGTGTGGCAATAGGGTTGATGACAAAACCTTTTTTTCTTCGTCGGCCAGGTAGATTAATAAAAGTATTGGACAAGTATTTATTTCTTATTCACATAATTAAAACATTACAGAGATATGTTGATATGAAATTTCCCATGACGTCACGTCTTGGTACAATTTTTACTTAGAAGTGACTTTACAAGCCTTCTCTCCCAAACTTTCACGCGCTCTATCCTTTTGGTATTAGTTTCCAAAACATAGAACCATTCTAAATCGAAAGAAGTCTTAAGGTACTGACAGGTTAAGGGATGACTGTGCATAAAGAATATTGTGCCAAAAACCTGGCAATCAATTAACCCCGATTTCAATACACCATTGAAGTACACATTGTTCAATAATTTTCTCTACATCTATTACATTAAATACCAAACTGATTGATTTTCTTTTGTATTTGTTTTATTTCGGTAGTAAAATCGTTAATTCAATGAAGCTAAAAATTTGAAGATAATTTTATATATTCATGGACTGTTAGCGGTACGAATTTCGTCGGTTCAGCAGCATATTTACAAAAATATATGCATTACAAATATACTTATAAAAAAGATTATGCTAATTAGTTATGCCAATGCTCATGGTACAATAGTATTTACACACCAAAAAAGGAACAAATTATTTAATTTAAAGCACTTATACATAAAATTTGAAATCATTTTCCTTCAAATAAAGACAATTTGTTTCTCTTTTAAAATCAATCTAATTAAATTCATCTATCAAAAAGCGCAAGATAGAATATCTTGGCCACGTGCTCAGGAACGATAGATACATGCTGCTGCAGGTGATAATGATAGGCTAAGTGGACGGAAAGAGACGTGCTGGGCGAAGAAAAAAGTCGTGGCTCCCTAATATCCGGGAGTGGACCGGTATTGCCTCCGTCGAACAGTTGTTCCGGCTGGCTGCTGATAGAACTACATACAGGAAGCTAACGGCCAACCTTCAGGATTGAAGAGGCACTGGAAGAAGAAGAAGATTACAAAAACAATTTTAAACCCTACAAAGAATGAAAACGCCATTTCTGTAAGTACAGAGTATATTAAAGCTAAAATGTCTAAAAAAATAAATAAATAAACCTCTTCGAAGAAACCAAAATGTAATGAGTTTAATAAATGCAGCATATTTTTTACCTACATAAATTAATATTCCAAATTTCAAAAAAAATATTTCGTAATTTTTATATTATATATAAAAATTACGAAATATTTTTTTTGTTGACTCTACCCAATTTTTACTCTCGACTGACATTACAATGGCAAATATTCGCGCTTATGCTTTTTCTCCCTCATACAAACGTTTACAAGTGTTGTTGTCTTTTTCTTAATAACAAATACCGAATAAGATTCAAAACAAACAGCATTTTTATGAAAAAATATATTTTATAGTACTTACGAATGAAAAGTGATGCCGTCGGTTTTATTTTTAGTACTTGAGCAATTTGAGCACTTTTTAAAACAACACTTAGGCATTGTTTTATCTTATAATCACAAAATTTTAGAACTTTTTGACGTTCACATGTACGTCATTTGCATGTCAAGTTGTGACTAAAGCGATTGTGGCCTTGGGCCACAATTGATGCGGATCACTTTTGTGAGGCTAGTGCCGTATCTACCCTTTTTGTTTTAATCTAAGGATACACCCGATTAGACGACCTCCGTGGCCGAGTTAATAGGCTGATGATGATGATGACTTAGTTTTGTAGACCAGTGTATATTGCTCTTACCGATTCATCTCTATATATATAAAACTCAAAGGTGTCTGACTGACATAGTGATCTATCAACGCACAGCCCAAACCACTGGACGGATCGGGCTAAAATTTGGCATGCAGGCAGATGTTATGACGTAGGCATCAACTAAGAAAGGATTTTGAACAATTCTACCCCCAAGGGGATAAAATAGGGAATGAAAGTTTGTATGAAACTTTGTCAATTTTAAACCGATCGGGCTGAGACTTTGCATGCAGGTATAAGAATCATAGATGAATGTCATTGTGTATAATACAAGCCTGAGAACAAAAACTGTAGTCTACACTTCAGCTCTACACCGAAGCGAAGCGAGGGCGGGCCACTAGTCTTTGTAATATAACTTACCTTACTGCAAGTAACCATCATCCCGTTGCAGAATCTGAGATGCAGCACTGCCTCGCAGTGGTGTATTAAAGTGTTGAGCATGGCCCCCGTACAAACGTCCCACACCCGGACCGTACTGTCGGAGGAACCCGATATTATGGCCCGCTCGTCGTACTGCAGGCATAGTACGGAACCCGTGTGCCCTTGGAGCTCCTATTGGACAAATTTTAAACATTTTAAAATATGAAAAGGCTGCGTTTTTATAGAAATTGATAGAAAAGTGATTAGAGTGTTGGGCATAGCCCTGGTACAAACGTCCCAAACTCGGACCGTACTGACGGAGGAAACGACATTTTTTTTGTCAATTTTTTTGGACAATTTTTAACAGCATTTTTAAACATGAAACTGCTAGACTTTGTTTTTATATAACAGTATTTATAGCCAGACTAATTATATGCAACCAAACTACAATAACTTGGTGATTTATTATTAATTAAAAATCTAATTTTGAAATGAAAATTAAAAAACAAAAAAGGGCATTTGATTCTTCGATAGTAGTGTCTGACTGAAGCTCTTTTTTCGCTGGTTCCTGAATCTCTAGGAAACTATATCAGTAATCCCATCATGGGATGACCCAAATAGAACTACTGGGAAAAGACATCAACCCTTTTGGTGAGACTTGCGAAACATTTTTTTTATATACCCAGGTAGGCAAATGACTCTACCCCACCTGATATTAAGTGGTGATAAAGTCCAAACGCGAAGATAGCTGGTACAGTAGTTATAAACTGCCACACCAACCATCCTCACCTTGTCGGCCTGCAAAAATGCTTCTTCACGCCTCTCTTAAAGGACCCCAGATTGTAGGAAGGAGGGAACACGTCCGCGGGCAATGAATTCCACTTACGAATAATACGACAAAGAAATGAATAACCAAATTTCTTTGTTCGTGTAGGAATAGATAGCAATAGAAATAAACAAGTATAGTGGGATTTAAATAAGAATAGGAAAGCCAATGACCTCCATCTGCCAAATGTCGCTTGAAAAGTACGGTTTGCAAAAAAAATTGGAACCCTTTTTTAGCACTCTGCTAATTCTAGAATAAAAACCAAACATTTGTAAACAAACAATAACAAATGTTGATAATTAATATTGTTTGATATTTCTTTTTCATTTATTTACCTAATACGTAAACCTAAATCGTCAAACTAAATTGTCAACCAAATGTAATGCATGATTATTCATAACACATACTCCGGCGGTAAAGCAGAGCGGAATGGAAGAGCTAGATTCCAGTTTTCTTTTCTCACACAGTCCTAATAAATAAATATTAATAAAAATCGGCTGCTTTTTCTCAATCTTAGTAAATAAATTCATAAAAATCTGATGTCTTTTCTCACTTTATCTTAGTAATAGGTTTTATTAAATAAAAACTTTTTTTTGCTCATTCTACCTATTTGGTTTGTATTGACAGCTATGACGTCACAATATGGCGCTCAGTCGGTCCTAATCTTAGTGGAATCGCATTATATTTACCTTCATACACTGCAACGTTTTTCTGTCCCATATCTTGATGGTGTTGTCCCGGAGGCCGGACACAATTTTGTTGTCGTCGTACTGCAGGCAATATACGCCCTTCGAGTTCTCCGATCTGCAGTTTATCCTCTGCGAACAAACAAATTAAAATTAACACTTGATAAATCTAAATAAAATCTTATAATAATAAATAAAAACAATAGCCTCTTTACGCGTCGCGCCTTAGCTTGATAATATGTAGCCTATATGTTGATCCGACTTCTTAATAATATTGGTACCAAATTTAAAGTAAATCCATGCAGTACCTTTTTGAGTTTATCCCGGACATACATACAGACAAATAAACAAAAATTCTAAAAACTATATTTTTGGGTTCGGTATCGATTGCAGATCACACCCAAAGTATTCTTTTAAAAAAATATTCAATGTACAGTTTTGAATTTCCTACAATTTTATTATATGTAAAGATTATTTTGGATATTGGCTACCTGCACATACACTTTCAAAGTGCGGTGCAGTTCAAAAAATCATTTCCTATAGACGCTTGCTTCCCACCAGGGAGCATTATTGCGTGAACTATGCAACTTGGCTAGGCTTGTTTATTATAACGAAACCAAAACGCGATTCAGGAGATAACTAACGCCATCTAGACGTGTCTTAGTGAATCATCTGAGAACAGGGAAACTCGGACAAAAACAAACCCAGCTTTATAAAGCGATTTACCAAAACTGGTCTAAGATCCGAACCTATATCGACCTTCACCGAGCTGATAATGAAACATATTTTATCATTAATTTACTATAATTGCTATATCTTCTTTCAAATGTTTAATACTTGAAAAAGTATTCATTTGACATTGTGGGTTACCTACAATGCGAAGAGATGGCGCTGCCTTGAGGCCATGAGGGCCGTGGTAGCATAATTGGTCAGTGCATTCGCCCGGATTGCGAAGAGTGCGGGTTCTTTTTTTTTTTTTTTTAGAATAGAATAATCTTTTCGTTCGAGTCCCGTCCACTGCCTGGTCCGCGTGGATTTTTTTTCTAGTAAAACTTTTCTTTAGATTTAAACATCTAGCAGTCAATGCTTAAAAATAAATTAAAACATAACTATAAAATAACATATTAAAAATGGGTTACTTAAAAAAATCCTGGGCAGGCTATTTTTAATTAATTATTATTAAAATAATTTTAATTAAATGTTGCAACATCAAGTTAATAAGAAAATGGTGTCGATTCTAGCATGATTCTCTAAACCTAAACTTAAATTTGACAACAGTGTATCCTTGTCATTCTCTATACAGAATAAAAAGGAGAGACTGATGTTAAAATTAGTTTTAAGTTTAGAGAATCACGCCAGAATCGACACCAATGTTGTCCTAAAAACCAGGGGTTGCCAGGTATAAACAAGAATGTCGATGCCAGTTACGTTACCCGACGGCTGCACATTCTATATGTTTTATACTTTAAGTCAGGACAACATTTTATTATTTATCTTGATGTAGCAACATATTTTTTTTTAAATACTTAATTAAAAGTGGTCTGTCCAGGACTTTTTTAGGCAACCCATTTTCAATATATTTTCTAATATACTAAAGTCATGATAATATATGTTTCAATCTAAAGAAAAGTTTACTAGAAAAAAATCCACACGGACCAGGCAGCGGACGGGACTCGAGCCCGCACCCTTCGCAATCCGGGCGAATGCACTGACCATTATGCTACTACGGCCCTATTCGCCGCGTCGAAATTTTCCTAGCCTTAAGCTGCAAGGCAGTGCCATCTCTTCGCATTGTAGATAACCCACAATGTCAAATGAATACTTTTTCAAGTATTAAACATTTTGAAAGAAGAAATAGCAATTACAGTTATGTTTTTTTTAAGCATTTAACTGCTAGATGTTTAAATCTAAAGAAAAGTTTACTAGAAAAAAAATCCACGCGGACCAGGCAGCGGACGGGACTCGAACCCGCACCCTTCGCAATCCGGGCGAATGCACTGACCATTATGCTACCATCATGTTCATTCTATTACCAGGAAAAACCAAGGGTTAAAGTAAAATGTTTCCCTCTATGAGGAATCCAGTTGCTTTATATTACAAAAAGAAATATTAATGAATCTACACTGAATAGCAAATAAACAACTTACTACATCGGAACTCTGATTTGATTTTCTCAAAAAGTATAAAACTCACAACTACTAAAGTTATACCTACATAAAATGAGTTTCATAGTGATTAAAATGAACAGGAATTTATTGCCATTTATACATTTTTTTTATATTTTGTTTACCAAACAATAGTCGTTTTTAGATTGTTTCAATCGGCAGTAAAAAACGTAACAGAAACACACGCATCTGATAAAACTATGGACAAATACTAAAGAAATGAAATGGAAGTATCAGACTATCTTCATTTTATAAAAAAAAAACGATAATGGCAACTTCATTCGCAAAATATTAGTAAATCGTTCTACGAAGTTGACGGTACTTTAGAATAAAACTGTTAGATATTTAAATCTTAGGGCCGCGGTTGCATAATGGTCAGTGCATTCGCCCGGATAGCCAGGGGTGCGGGTTCGAGTCCCGTCTGCTACCTGATCCGCATGGATTTTTTTCTAGTAAAATTTTCTTAAGATTAAAATAACATTCTATTCATTTTAATCATTATGAAAAACACTTTCTGTATGTGTAACTTTAACAGTTATAGTATTATAAATTTTTGAGAAAATTGAACCCGAGTTCCAAGTTACAAGCAGATGAGCTGTTTTATCTGAGGTCGAATGATTGACGACCTCCGTGGCAGAATGGTTTGTACACCGGGTTTCAAGGTGTCGCCGACTCGAGAGGTCCCGGGTTCGAATCCCGGTGGGGCAGATGTATGTGTGATGCATACGAACATTTGTACTCCAGTCATCGATGTTTAATATGTATTTCTATATAAATATACTTATATATGTACTGCATATGTATTCTACCCGTAACCCTAGTATCCCATAACACAAGCCTTACAGCGCTTACTTTGGGGCTAGGCTAATTGGTGTGGGTGTTGGAAATATTTAATTATTTATTATTTTATTTATCTGCGGTCGAATGTATTACCTGCAAGTTGTGCCTGCCCATTCTCCAGTTGTCCTCTATGGAGCGGATGTCCTGTATGATCTTGGGGTACAGCTGTCGATAGAACGAGTGGGAAGGGTGCTGACAGCCCGGCTTCGGCTTGAATAAATATTGGATCCTGGAAACAAAATAAAAAGATATTTATTTATATATTGAAACATACAACTACAGAAAACAATTTGATACGTTTACATAATATCTTATAATTAAGTTTCACAATAAAATTTAATCCCAGTAACATACACACAATGTTTAAATAGAATATAGAATCATATTTTTAAATTTCATTTATTATTATTATGTGCATTGATTTTGTATTTAATTTATCCACTTAAACTAAATTACAATCAGGTACAAGTTAAAATATATAATTATCTTTTCTTTCAATCTTTATGTAGTAACAAGACGCTCCCGCTGTATGTACGCTTAGATCTTTTACACTACGCAACGGAATGTACTTCCGGACACCTCTACCAGCCCACTTAGGCCCGTATTACAGAATGAAAACTAAGTGTTGATCTTTACTTGAGTACAGTTAGAAAGAGATGTCGCTCTGCATAGCACATAGCGCCATCCCTTTCTAACTGTGCTCAAGTAAAGACCGACACTTAGTTGTCATTCTGTAATACGGGCCTTAGTGTTATAAGTTTCAACGGTCTGTAGCAAACAATATATGTTAGGTTGAGCAATAATAATATATTTTTAAAAAAACCCACAGTAAAGATGATTAATGTGTACTGATTTTTAGTTCTCGTTACGCCCTTTGTGGCGCTGCTGTTCAAGTTTCCATACAAAATTTGACAATGACATTTCCGACTCGCAACTCATAGACCGAACAAAGCAACTGGAGCTCAGTGGGAGACTCGATCTCCAATCAGCTTGGACAGCTTTGTGTACCTTGGCTCTCCTATATGTAGCGATGGCTCATTCGAACCGGATGTTCGGAAGCGGATTGGTATGGCAAAAAGCGCGATGACCCGGCTAGGCAGGATCTGGACCGATAGATCGATTTCACAAAAGACCAAGGTTGGCCTGGTGAGAACTCTGTTGTTCTCCATATTCACCTACGGTGCGGAAGCATGGACCCTCAAGAAGACAGACAGATCTCGTATTGACGCATTTGAGATGTGGTGTTGGAGGAGAATGTTACGAGTTCCGTGGACAGCTCACCGTACAAATGCGTCAATTCTTAAGGAAGTGGGAGTCACCGTTAGGCTGTCCAATTTTTGCTTGCGTAGGATCCTCGAATTCTTCGGTCACATAGCAAGGAAGAAAAACGATACCCTGGAAGTACTCCTGGTGACAGGAAAAGTACAGGGAAGGCGACCGAGAGGAAGAAGCCCCATGCGCTGGACAGACCAGATCCACGACAATATCAAAACTGGAGTCCGCGATGCACTCCACACTGCGGAAGACCTCAATAGGTGGAAAGCGATCGTCCACAAAATAATTAGTGGAGGTCACAACCCTCAGTAATGAGGAGCACGACACAAGGAGGAGGCTAAAATATTGAAATTACATTGAGCAAAAAGTGTTTACGCAGTTTTGAAGCTGATTTATTAACCATGTTTTTGAAAAAATTCTATAGCCTATGTTCATCACAGATATTGTAGGATTCTAAATGTGAAGGTATTTTTCAAATTGGTCCAGCAGTTTTGAATCCTATTGAATATAAACAATCAAATCTTTCCTCTTTATAATATTAGTATAGAAGTGGGATTAAAAAGAGTTTCACATGTATCATGGTTTCATAAAAAAATAACAATTTTTATGACTACGAAATTTTAAAACAATCTAATCTATTATAGTTAACTCACCATCCCCTCCTCTCTGCCAGCCCGCGCCACAGCGAGTCGGTCCTGACCTTCCTCTCGACGAGCTTCTTCCACAGCATCCCCTCAGATATGACGCGCTGCCATTCGCGGCAAACCAACTCGGCCGCGCAGAGAGAGCTCGCGTCCAAGTACGACAGTATGTTCTCCGCTACGTGGTCGAGGCCTTTCTCTGTAAAATTTAAAAAAAGTAAAGTGAGTAAGCTGCCAATTAGAAATTTAGTTTCTCGTTGAATTAGAATAGACTGTACAGGATTTCCAAAATTCGTGATGGCAAGTTAAAAATTCTTTTACTTTAGAACTATTATAAAAAAAACCGGCCAAGTGCGAGCTGGACTCGCGCACCGAGGGTTCCGTACAAACCTGAATTTCCAAAGATATTTTTTATTATATGATTAACTAAAAATTTACGGTTTTCGCAATTTTTCCTTTATCGGTACTATAAGACGTTACTTCGTACCAAATTTCAAAATTCTAAGTTCACGGGAAGTACCCTGTAGATTTTGATTCCCGTGCGAGTTTCGAAAATTTGCCGAAATTTGCGGCTTAAACGGCTGGATCTTTTGATTGCTTTGGCTTAGAAGTTTGATTTTTTTCACGGCTCCAAGGGACAGTAGATATGAGTATTAGATATGAATTTCAGTTTGATACTTCCACGCGTTCCTGAGAAAAACGGTCTTGACAGACGGACGGACGGACAACAAAATGATCCTATAAGGGTTCCGTTTTCTCCTTTTGAGGTGCGGAACCCTAATAATATAGTGAGTAAGGAGCCAAGTTTCATTAGAAATTTAGTTTCTCGTTGAATTAGAGTAGACCTACAGGATTTCCAAAGTTTCGTGACGTATTTCAAAATCTATTACTTTAGAGCTATTATACTAAACTTCAAAATCTTTAGAACTCTTATCTGTATGGGTTTTAATTTTAATGATTTCTTTTGAATGAATATAATTTAATGCCATGAAATGTAACAGTTAATGCCGATTTAATGTTATTTGTTTTATATAACTACATTTTACATATGTGTATGCATGTTAAGTGTTGCAATCTGGAACGATTCGTTCATTATTAATAAAGGTACAAGTCCGAACTGAACCGCAGACCACAGACCGCAGCCGTAGACTGCAGTAGGGCTTTCATCCCGGGAGTCTCGGTCTCGAAAATTCCGAGAGTCTCGACGATTTTGTCGCATTTTCGAGACTCGAGACCTCAACTCCAGTTTTCGAGACTTTTCACTTATAGTTTCTTTATAAAAAGTGTGTATTATATAGCTACGATGTGTTCCTTAGCACAACAGTTGGCGGCGACAGAGGTAAGCATTTAAATCAGTGCTAAAATTATTTGTTATCCATCCTCCCTACTAGCGTCGAAGCAGAGAGAGCTTTTTCTAATACTTTTGCAACAAGATCAGATCCTCTCTATCTGAAAACACTTTGGAAGACCTTTGCTTTCTGCGTGCCTAATATAAAAATGAAAAATGTTAATTTTACTTATACATATTTGATTATATTGTAATTCTTGATTATTAAAGAACATAATTGAAACATATTGTATTAATTGCCTAATTGTATAAACCTTGAGTATGAAACTTATTTTCAAAGTCTCGAAAGTCTCGTTTTTGCCGGGACTCGAAAATGTATCGAGACTGAAAGCCTTAGACTGCAGGCGGCACTACTAGTTTCTATGAATCTCTATGAAATTGATTCTGAGCGCGGCTACATGCCGCGGCTGCACAATGCATATAATGCACGGTCAGTCGCAGGCGCTAGCCGCAGTGTCGCCTGCGGTTGTCGCCTGCAGCCCATTGCGGAATAGGGGTGATGACGGGGTACAGTAAACGAAATTCTATTTAGTCCGTCAGTTAGATGATCGAAAAATAATGGACACCTATTTTTTCTTTGGGCAATCAACCAAAAAATGACAAAGTTATAGCGCGTCAAAGATTGGGAGTAGGGGCTCGTGACGTCACGTTTGAGTGAATTTTCCCTTATAAGTGTACTCAAACGTGACGTCATGCAACTTTTCAAATCAATATATCTCTGCAATGCTTATATTATGTGAAAAAAGAAAAAATACGTGTCCAATGCTTTTTGATAATCTACCCGATAAACGAAGAAAAAAAATTAGTCATCATCCCTATTGTACCTTAAGTCAGCAATAAATATGTTATGTATACCGACTAAATGAAATAAAAATAAATTTGTTTTGTTCACTAATTTTCAGATTTGCTGAAACTATGTGACGTCACACTAGGGAGGGGGGCACTTACAAATGTGACCAACTGTGACAACAATGGGGGAGGGGTAAAAAAACACGAAATTAGTGTGACGTACCGAAATATTTTACTATTTGCAGCCAGTCTGAGGTGTCATACATTTTTTTATGTAGTCATACATCTTTATGTATAGCACCTCAGACAGGCTGCAAATAGTAAAATATTTCGGTTCGAATCCAAGGTTTGCCTTTGCGAAGATGTATATTCCCACCATCTAACAGAAAACTACAGTGGAATAATACCTTTTGGTGGTCTTATACTGGTTGGTGGGGTGGGAAATCGCGCGAGTGACGTGTGACGGCGTTTTGTATCGACGCATTAAGTGGTCGGTGCGGGTCACAAGAAGCGAGCAAAGACGATTTGCGGCGTGTGGCGGCCACCGGCGTACCGTGTGTGGCGAGTTCATATAAAATGTATGAAAACTACAAGAAATATGCCAGTGGCGGCGTTTTGTGGTTGTGGTCGGTGGCCCGTGTGCGGCGACACTTTTAGGCAATAGTGGATGCGTACAATATGCTAATATGCCACCCCATTTAGTTTTTTTTTATGCCTGATTCTGACCCGCCATTTACAGTAATGTTATATTTATGAAAAAAATATTTAGGACTTTTTTTTCTCGTACTGATTTAATTTAAATAACATTGTAAAACTTGCGGATACCAAAATGAATATTAAAATAGTGTGTACCTACCTACCTACCTTCAGTTTCCGTTAAGAGAAGAACGAAAAATTGGCATATTACTGTAGTACTAGAACATCTCCGAAATTTAAGGTTCTGAGTTAATTATGGAATTCACCCAAATTTTTTGAATTCTTAAATTAACTCCAAACCTCAGATTTTGGTGATGTTCCGGTACTGTCTCTGATGGACGATACGCGTTTTGTTACACGACAAACAATAAAAAACCACAATATTTTTCGAAATATATTGTATTTTTTTTTTACATTTTGGATCTAATACGCATTTCGGTTATATATATATTTAATTTTTTTATGTGCATAAACATTATTAAGTGGTAGTACTATGTGAAACTAAACGCCATTCTGGTTTGATATCCTTTTCTTTGACATTTCCTTTTCTTATGATTGTGGTGCGGTGCGACAAAGCGAACCAAAGACGAATCGGGTGTTTTGGAAAATAATTACGACTTTTGCTTTTGAATACGGACCTTTTGTGGCTTTGTTTTAGGATACCGATTTATTGTTTGTAATTATTATGATACCATATTCTTTATTAAGTATTACAATTATTTACACTATGAAAAGAACGATTTGTATGTTTGCCTGTAATTAATAAACTCAGAAACCCTCACAGACTGATAATAATCGAAAACACAGACGAATACGGTACCTAGAAACTACCTATTCATTAAAGTTATGAAAACGCCTAATTATTAATTTATAGCAATTCAAATTTTTTGCTCAATTGCAGCTCGAGAAATTACGTTTCCTCGATAATTGTATTTTTGTTAGTATTTTATTAAAAACCCATAACTTCTAGAAAATTTACAACACTACTATTTTGTTGCCTATTATTACAGCTGTCAAATGTCATTTATCGCATTCATGTAAACCAATTTTATCGGGTGGGTCAAACCTCTATAGAACTTCTGGCATTGTCCTTTATTAAAACCATACTGTTGTGGCAGCGACATCTATATGCCCCACATATAACTAACATGGAGGAAATAGTCACTCACCTCCTTAAGAGATGGCGCTACCGGCGCTGCGTTCACAAGGTATGGAAGCCTACATCGCGCAAGAGAAATTCGGAGCCAAACATTCCATATATACGATGCCCGACCAACATCAGTCGGGCCGCGTCCCCCAAGCTACCATCATCCAGCTCGGAGGAAGATCTTCCCCTTTGGCCTTCCTACACTGTCATTTTCAAAGAATCCTTTCTTAAAGAGATCACAAAGCCTACTAGTACTTCTTCATACGATTTTCTTATGCTAACAACATACAGAAATCTAAACATTGAATTTCATGATGCCAGGTAGGTAATTTGAAAGTAAAATATTGGTGTGCCCGAGCCGAGTACCCGATCAGTAATACAAACTGTTGGGATTTTAATAACTTGATAAATAGTTTACGGTAAAATGTTCTTTTTGCATGTGTACATAAAGCCTATTTTAGTTAGAGCGTGGTTAACGACGTAAGATTTCAACCATACAGAGTAGAACCTAGGGGCATCAGAGCTCAGCACGAAAAGTTTTTATGGTACCGTATCTCTAAAGAAAAATACGAAGCCCTTATAGGATTACTTTGTTGTCCGCCGAATTTTTATCTCGGGGTCGCGTAAAAGTATCGAATTGATATTCAAACCATCTCAGATCTACGATCCCTTGAAACTGTGAAAAAATCGAACTATGAAAAACAAGTGTGCTTATGACAAAAACTTCTTTAGCTCCAACTGTATATATATGTGTGTACAATATAATATACATGTATGTACATATACATATGGCATTTACTAGCTATTAGAGAAAGAGAGAAAGAAAATGTGCGCGCGCACTGCTTTCTTTTGCTTATAACCCCCACTCAACTCCCGTTCGCCTCGCCCGAACACACTTATCGTAACGCGTAACGCATTCGCCACCTTACCCCCCAAGTCAAGCGTGCGTAAAGAAGTTTCACTTCAAAATATACGGCCGTGTACATACACGGCAGACATCTGTCAAGACCCTTTCTGTCGGGTAGAGTCGATATTTAAACCATATACTCCAGGTTACAATCCCTTGAAGTTGTGACAAAATCACACTTCGCTTCACCTAAAAAATGTTACAGCCGTTTATGTTGCGTACCTACAAATCTGTACGGAACCCGCAATGGGCCACAACACAAGCCTTACAGTGCTTACTTTGGGGCTGGGCTAAAAATAATCGTTGTGAGTA